GAAGATCCCTTTTCCCTGCTATAATACCAGCTCGAGCAAGTTTATTTGCCCTGGGTATCTTCATCGTTATCCAGGCTCCTGAATGAGGTGGAATAACTGTGGTCTCACTCACTTCAACACGACAACTCATTTCAGCTTCGGATGAAATCCAATAACTTAAGGAAGAATCCCCTGAATTGAGCTTTAGACGTTTGTAGTCGATGGCACTCACATGCTTTAAGAGGAAATCTTGACCGAGGATTGCTTCCGGAATTACATCACACACAAATATAGGATGTGTGTATTTTTGTCCATCAAGAATAATGTCCATGTCAGCATGCCCTTCAATCTTTAGACCTGTTCCATCCACTGCTTCGACTTTAATGGTCCCTTGCTGGAGAAAAGGAGCATCTTCCAACTTGATCTGGTCAAATATCCTCTTTGATAATATTGTCATGGTTGACCCACTGTCAACAAGGACGTTTGCTTCTACACCATATATGGTACCCTGAATGTAGAATCCATTATCCAAACCCCCCTTAGAGTTCCCAGTCAGTCCAACTCGGATAGCAGCATCCTCAGGCCTTGAATTCCCTGTCTCCCCATGGCCTACTGAGTCGACAGGATGGCTTTTCCCTGCGTCCCTGCAGATCCAGCATTAAAGGTGGACATCTGTTCCTGGCACCTTTTGTATATTGGGCAGTCTTTCATAAAATGTTCCCTTGATTTGCAGATGAAACAAGTTCTCTGACTTTGAGGTCGGTCATTTCTCTTCTCATATCTGAAGTTGTTGGCCTTTTCAAGCTTCTCTAACCTTCCCATGATCTTGTGCAGCACTTCACCCTCAAGATCTTCATTCGGCTTGGGTGCGCTCTCAAGTTCCATAGGAGCAAGCCCTCCTTCATTTCTGTTCCCTACTGTCCTGACTTGTCTCTTCTTATCTCGATGGTCGCCAACCAATGCCTCGAACCTTTCAATCACCTCCACCGCTCCTGAAAGAGTCCTGCATCCTCTGTCAATGCAATGAAACTTAAGCTCTGGTGAGACTGTCTTGTATAGCTGATTAAGGGCAATAGCTTCCTGTGCCCTGCTGTCTAAGTCAATGTATGCCCTTTGGGTCATCTGTCTTAGGTCATCGGCCAAGGCAGCAACTGACTCAGCATTCTGTCTCTGTCTGACTTCTAGCCTTGAAAGCCATAAGCTCTGTTGTCTCTCACTCCCAAATCGGTGGTTGAAGTTCCTAACTAGCATGTGCAGTGACCTCTTCTCGTGCGGGGCCAGTCCCATGTAGAATGTCCTAGCAACCCCCTTCAGGCTGGCAGCAAGAACTAAGAGTTGCTGGTCCATAGGCCAGTCACCGAGTTTCCGCACAATTCTTGAAGTGTGACAGGTACTCCTCCCAGTCTGTTGTCCCATCATAGAACTCTGGCCTGATTGTGAAGGGTACTCTTCTTCTAGGTATGACCATTGGTCTCCTAGGTGTTGCATCATCTCTATGGTGTACTCTGACCTCGCCATTGGATCTGCTTGGCTCTTCATCAAGTGATTCAGCCTCTTCATACAGTTCATCAAGTGTCTCCTCTTCAAAAGATATGTCCCCTTGTCCTTCTTCTGCTGTGGTTTGATGACACTTGTCAAAAGAAACTTCTGCGTCTGGAGATGAAACTGTAGCCATCTTGTCACTGGTCCTAACTGTAAGTCCCTTGGTTCATATCAAGGATGTTTAAAAATATAAACATCCCACTTCTGACACCAGTTTGTAGCTGCCCGGACCTGAACTTCTGATAAACCTCGAAGTCTGGATGTAACTGAGAGTCAAAACACTTCTTTTCAATGAATAATTAGTTTTTATTCATGTGAGTATAACAATGCCTTATATGGACAACACAATGCTTCCAAATAAGTAGATCCCTCTGAGCTTTAAGGTTTATTTGTAAGGACCAGTGTCAGGGCAAAATAATTATTGCCTGTAACTATAATGGTAGTTTACTGCTATAAATATATATATATATGGATGACTTCTTTATCAGAATAACTTTACAGTTACTAAGATAGCAATTTGTGTCTGTGTTCAAAAATGCAGTCTATTTATAGAAATGATTACATAAGGACAAGGGGAACTTTTGGGCTGAATTATCTGCCCTTAGATTGAAACTGACCTTAAGACTGCCAAAGTCAGAATGACCCAGAATGGATCTCATCGTATTTATAGGTGTGAGAAAATGGTCACATGTCTGTTATTGACCAATCAAATTGCGAGAAATTACGTCTCTTTACGTCCTTATTCCTTTGAGGGATCCACTTTCACAATGTAAAATCACTGAAATAAAGAGGAAGGCAAACCATCTCAGGAGGTAATTTGGTAAAAAATGAGTATTTATACCAATCAATTAATTCTGTCTAATTGATTCACTAATTGCCTTCCAATATCACAAGATAAACAATTACGTCCTGCTACGTCGAAGCTACGTCATTGCTGCCTGCTGAGAGGACGTAATAACAACAAGCAACATCGACTGGGAACTACGATGGACAATTCAAAGAGAAAGATTACAAATGTCAGGAGGCAATTGGAATTTATCTGATGCATAAGACGTTTAATAACACGAATTGGCCACTGGTATGCTTTGACAGAAGCACTGGATGTCATATTTATGAGAAACATGTTCATAAATAGTGACGCTAAATACTGCGCATGAATACATCAGCGAAGATTACACAGTTCCTAATGTCAGAATTAACAGTAACTTTAATACACGTCTTGACATATCATCAAATACGATTCTGGGTTCCTCTGGACATAGTTCATTAGATTAAATAAACTTTATAATGCAAAATGCTAAGCATTAGCCAAATTCAGTAACTTCATCGCGACCTAAGCTAGCTGTCACAAAGTTAAAATGGCGGGCGTCGGCGAAACACGTAGCTCAGCCCTGATCACAAATTCACACAAATATGGATAAATATCAAGCTGCCAAGTGATTGTGATCTGTTTGTTGAAGAATGAAGGTATGGTTAATTGCGTAACTGTGTGCTTAGAACGATGAATTCTTCAAAAGTTACGGTCAATGCAAAACTCTTGAAACAAGTAAACAAGATCGTTTTGACAGTCACGTTGTTGACATCGATGCTTATGAGGTACTGGCACATCCTAAACAATATGCGTAACATGATGGCATGGACATATGATTATTTTTACGAGATTACAGTGTGCCATGAAGCTCTATAAAAGCATGCTATGATCCTCTGATAGATTTCTTACCAAAACGGGATTCAAAACATTGAATTACGTGAAAACGAGGTTGGCTAAAAATATACTGATATATACCTGCAAAACTAATTACAGTTTACAGGATAATTATGATATAATTCGTGCACTGTAATATAACCATAAAAAATACAACAGGGAAATATTTAGGAAATATTTCTAATTTTACAAGCTGTCATAACTTACATATTTTATAATAAAGACACATTAATATTTATATATTCTTCGTGATGGCCATCACAATATCACGGCGGGGGACACCAGAAATGGGCTTCACACATTGTACCCATGTCGGGAACCGAACCCGGGTCTTCGGCGTGACGAGCGAACGCCTATAACCACTAGGTTAGCCGACCGCGCCCCATCGAAACAGATTCCATTGGGCGTAAGAGGCAATATAGCAGTGAAAATTATATGCACGGATCACTGAAAGAAGAGGGTATCTGTGAAGATAGGATACCAAGAAAATCTTATAATATGCTTGTATATAACGACAAGTGTGGTCGTCATAACTATGCTTCTTCTATTCGTTCCATATTATTTTCTCACGGATTCGGAGTAGTTTGGCTCAGTCAAGCTGTTGGCGACAAACCATCATTCATGAATAGTTTTAAAAACGTTTTGATAAATATGTTCTACCAATCATGGAATAGTACTATCAAGGCTAGTTCTAGGTACATTCTGTATAAAGAATTTAAAAGTCTCCTGGAACCAGAAAAATACCTTTCCATTATTACTGAAATAAGATATCGAAATGTTTTGATAAGGCTTAGAGCCGGGCTACTAAGACTTAAGGTAAACGAAGGTAGATGGGCTGATATTGACTTACGTTTACGACTCTGCCCCATATGTGAAACAAGTATAGAGAACGAATATCACTTTACTTTAGAATGTGAATATTACAACGATATTAGACATCTGTATTTACCAACAACATTTTGCAATAATCCAAATATGCATAAATTTAAAACGCTACTGTCATCTTCGTGTAAACAATTACTTGGAAAACTATGTAAATACCTGTATTACAGCTATGAAAGAAGACGTAATTATGAAAAGCCTGTAAACCTGTAAATTTGTACCTGACATTACCTTTTTTCATGTACCACACTATTTCAAATGTATGTATTGTATATGGGCCAGTGGCCTTGGTACAAATAAAGACTTCTTCTTGTGTAAAAAAACACTCGGATGGACTCAGAACAAGTCTTCTGTGGTTAGTGGATAAGCTGATTATTGGATTCGGTTGAAAAGTGTATTAACCATCAGTGTATTTTCATTGCATTTGAATTGAACTATAAGCTGCCTGGTGCCATGTTATGTTGTACTCAAAGAGTAAGGGGCGACTAACGGGATCTAGTGGTCAGGCTCGGTGACTTGATTTCAGGTCATCGTATCCCAATTGCGTGGATCGATGCTCATGATGTCAATCAGTGGATTGTCTGGTTCAGACTCGAATATTTACATACCGCCGTCATACGGCTGGCATTGTGCACAGTACTGCGTTAAACAACAAAGACCATGTACTCTGAGTACTCTGTCTGATGTCTGGAGCTGATTTGTGGTTCGGTTCCCCTAGATTATGACCCTTGGTTTGTCAGCACCATGCCTGTGCTCGTGGGTTCCACTGAAGTGGTAAGGTCTAGGAGAAGCATTACTGTTGAAGTATCCTCAAACATTAAGTGAACATAATGTGATATAAACAAAACTTAAACACATCATTGACTAGTTCATATGTTTGTATACTTTTCAGGCAACCATTGGGTCGCCACCCCCAGAACCCCTTCCTGACTACGACAAACCAGCCATGAACGGCTTCTCCAGAAGGATGACCCCCAATGGCACGTCTCTATACACAACCACCCCTCCCATCCCTCCACCAGACTACACCCCGCCCATGTCAACACGGAAATCTATACCACGTGTTAGCACATGATCCTGCTCGCCGGGATGGACAGAGGACAATCACCTGAATGCAGTCTTCATCACTGTGGCGAAAGTCATGCTCCGGACTATACACTCAAAACGACATTGGTGACATGACTACGACTATGTTGAAATGCAGGTGTCATACTCATGATGCCAATAACATCTTGTGGAAGAGCCTGATGGACCAAAGGTGTCACAGATTCTGGTGACAGTTTGTTTGTTATGTGAAATTAACCTCACATCATGTAATCTGTGATATATGCTGTGTTTTCTTGACGTTTGGTTGATGTGCATAAACACATGTTTCGGACTATCAGCAGCGTGATGCTGTGCATAATAACATGGGGTATTCAGACATGTTAGTGCTCACTCAGGAACGTTCGTGTACATATATACTAAAGAAGTGCACTAGTGATGGCTGACCAACGACATATATACGGGTTCGGGATCGAATCCGGTTCGAATAAATATGATTGATTTTACAATGTAGAGTTCACGAAATATAGTTAACCACTAACACAGTGATCCTATTGCAGAATAGGTAGTTACATGTAATTGGTGACTTTGAAACGTAAATCCAACAATATATATTTCATGTAAATATGGTTATCATCTCATTCTGTATAGGTTGTAAATGTATTTGACAACCTTCAAGTTTTGTTATCATGAATATAGTGATCCAATTGTGACACAGATGACAACCTTACCGTGTCGATATCATGAATAAAGTGATCCTGTTGAGACAGTTGACCACCTTACAATATAGATATCATGAATACAGTGATCCAATTGTGACACAGTTGACCATATTACACTGTCGATATCATGAATATAGTGATCCAATTGTGACACAGTTGACCATATTACACTGTCGATATCGTGAATATAGTGATCCAATTGTGACACAGTTGACAATGTTACACTGTCGATATCATGAATATAGTGATCCAATTGTGACACAGATGACAACCTCACAATGTCGATATCATGAATATAGTGATCCTATTGTGACACTGTTGACAATGTTACACTGTCGATATCATGAATATAGTGATCCAATTGTGACATAGATGACAACCTCACAATGTCGATATCATGAATATAGTGATCCCCTAACATAGTGATCGATCACTTTGGGCATAAGATGTAAATATATACCAGTAATTGACAACTTCGAATGAATATTTATTTCACGAATGTGAAATTTCCGTCAGAGCAGGAAACAAAGTTTAGTTGTCGATAGAATCGTCGACTCAAACACGTTTCTGGACTCAATTCTTTTAATGACAGTTCTGTTGGCATTTTCCGAAAATATTTATTAACCATTTAAACACCAAACTGCGATAAATCAAATTAATCATACCAGGGAGTCTGTTACTTTGTATAGACTCCCTGCTCAGATTCATCGTGTGCATTGTTAATTATCCTTCATAGTTGTCACGTTAATTGCAGTAAGTTCAAAGACGTATGGTCAGTTCACAAAGATTGAAAGAAATTATCTATTTAACATGCGCCCCCTATTACTGGTGACCACAGACAGGCCAACAAAGACTGCGAGCCCTCTTTAATCACTGACAGCCTGCTGACTCAGAAACAGTTTACATGGTGTATCTGTGTTACAGCGCTGTGGTGCCTCGCTTTTGGGTTCGTGGTATTTCAGTTATGACAGGGCTGTATAAATATTTGTAAATATTTGATTCAATTTTTTTTATTTTCAAGGATCTCATCGTTACTTCGTGGTATTGAACTTTCTCGATTATTATTATTATTGAGTCGACGTAATATTTTGATGTCATTTTTCATGTTATGATATGTCCCCGTCACGATCAGAACGGATATTTGAGAAATTCATAAACAGATAACGATTTGGGTTAATATTTAAAAGAATTGAACTTCGTCGCAGACTTCCAGCATCTGTGATATTAATTGTTTAGTTTCATTTGTTACTAATAATAGTTTGATAATCGTGAGTTATTCAATAAAAAAATCAATGTTCGTCGAATGTTCAAATTTGATTTAATTTGAATATATTTTAGCGTCGTCAGTGGTGTCACTGTGAAGGGGCGTGTCCCCACGTGCTCAATTTGCGGTTCTATACAAGGGCTGGTCCCTTGTTTTTTGTTTCCTCTTGAACATTTATCCCTTTTTTATGGAGAAATTGACAGCTACATTCTTGCCAGTGTTAGAGCGTATATTTTTTATTTTACTTATCAACAAGTTTTAGATTTTGAAGCTCAACAAGTTTTAGATTCTGAAGCTCAGCAAGTTTTAGATTCTGAAGCACATTTGTGTGGTTACCACATGCGTTTGCGTGATACTTATGTCACGTGAACCAGTAATGAGACGATTTACAGAATTTATATGATGGCATTATTTGGACCTGTTGATGAACAATGTTTTGAAAACAAGAATCTCGATAATTTTGCAGCTATATTCATCAGTACAGATGTGGTGGAATTATCACAGTATTGAATATGATAGTTTGCTCCGCGTGGTTTGTCATTGACATTGAAATGTATACCTATTGGTCAAATGTTCCATCTGTTACTTGTGCTACCTTTCATTGGGACAATGTAGAGACATAATCGACAATAAACAGTACTCGTCACCAAGTCGTTATCAAATTATTGAACAATAATTAATATTTATTTGTTTGCATGACCATTTCTCACGGCTGAGTAACGTTAATAAAGGCATATCAACATTGTAATCATATTCACCATCATCGTTATTATCACAATCCTTGAGAAAAGTACGTTTTTCTGTTTCGGTGTGAATAATGATTCGATCACACCTGTTTTTGTGTCAATGAACACATAAACGGTGTCACCAAGCCTTGTATCTGAGGTTTGCTTTGTATTGCATTGCTTCTTCGTTTCTGGGTTAAAAGTGGACTGACACAACTGCTTCATCAAATAGCATTATGGCGATACTGATGGGTATTTATGTTTAGGTTAATTTAGACTGATGAATTGTTCTCTGAGCTAAGGTGATTCCAATAACCTAACATGGACTTACGACAGTCGTAGCGCTGAGGTTGTTTTTGTACAACGATACCCTGATGTTTCCTGGGTGCCGTTGTACAAAGCGATCTTAGCATCAAGGTGATCGTAACTCCCATATCTTAACATAGACGTACGACAGTCGTAGCGCTGAGGTTGTTTTGTACAACGGCACCGTGGTCAGTAGAGGGCCCAGTGGTCGAAGTGTTCGAATCTCACAGAAGGCTTAAGTTCCCGCATGCTAAGGTTATGGTGTACCCACATGATACGGCTGAATAATTGCTGAAAGAGGACAAAATATCCACACTTTTTTAAAACTACAAGGAAGAATATGACATATTGGGCCCATTACAAATTTCAAATGTTTAAGTGACCAAAAACTTTGATGTGTTCATATGACTAACAACTTGCAACTTTGGCCTTTTTCTTACTATTGTCTGACTTTCTGCCTGACTGCGTTTTCGCTGACTTCGTCAGTGGTAAGGACAACAATGGTTAACAGAATTCCATCACGCTTCTATTCTAATACCTGGTAAATATGCCAAAAAAATTGTTTAAAGAATAGGTGTCGTTTTTTTTCTAAAAATCAGAACTCCTAACGCATGTTATACACTGGTTGAGCGTATCAATATTCACTGTTCACTTTTTATAAAAGCCTTTTTGAACTAACCACGAGAGTAAACTCACTTTCGGGATCTCAGTAGGGGTATAGAACCTATTTGTGTTGATCACTGTATATCATTATCAGTAGTATTGGAGCATGCTATATATGAATGCTATGACTAACACAGTGTATATATCAGGATGTCATAACTAGTAAATTGCTGATTATGCGGAAAAGGTCTCATCATCATCATCATCATCATCATCATAAACTGGTGATAAAATTATATTATTTCAACATTCCGTCACCACCGCTTTTGTGATAATTTGTTTATGTTATCATCATCATCATCATCATCATCATCATCATCATCATCATCATGTGTGTTTTATTTTGATGAATAAAAAAATCAACATGTTGTATGATTTATATTCCCTGTATCTAATGGTATAGTGAATGATGGTTAACGACGCAGCAATTTTCCTTTTTAACACGGCGGCCTGCACATATTCTGGACCAGACAAACCCGTGACGGAACGCATGACCAATCCATCTTTTTTACCTGGCTCTTTCAAGCAGGGATCCTGGAGAAAAAAATGTCCACCATATTCCCACAGCTGCTAAGTAATAATATTGGTGGTACATATTGTAGTATATTGATACTATTTAACATTTCAGTTTCTTTACATCACACTTGAAATCGCTGCCCTCGCTAATTTCCTCAAACCAAAGACACGGTAATTTGCATATTGATACGTGAAATGATCTTACTGAAAAAATAAAATTTCGAAAGTTGATATAAAACATGAACGCCAGAGATATAATCTCTGATATAAAAAGTTAACAATAGATCCTGTTTCTGGCAGATATTCGAGCTGTACACTGGCTTTTATACCAGTAATACAACAGCTGTTTCAATTGAAATCTTTCCGCTCTGTGGTATGTCTCTTTCTACATCGCGCGGGGCATGATGTCCTGCCTTAATGGTTCATTTGACCCAACCAAAAGATATATCACTATTATACGATGATTAGACCAGCTGTTGAGCAACGCATCCTGTATGAAAGGCATGCCCCAGAGAACAACTGTAGCCAGCAACAATGGTGAGAACTGATGGGGTTCGCTCCTTGGCCGCAGTGCATGACTTTGTGTCCAGACGATGTGTCACATTGACGAGTACACGTTTTGTTTGTTGTTTAACGCCGCACTCAGCACTATTCCAGCTATATGAAGGCGGTCTGTGAATAATCGTGTGACTGACATCATAAGCATTGATCCTGGCAATTAGGATCGATGACATGCATCAACCAAGTCAGCGAGCCTGACCACCTGATCCCTCTAGTCGCCTTTTACGACAAGCACAGTCGCCTTTTACGGCAAGCAGTGGTTGCTGAAGACCTATTCTGTCCCTGATCTTCATGTCAGTAGTAAGAATAACTATACTATACTATACTATACTATACTATACTATAATACTATACTATACTATACTATACTATTATACTATACTATACTATACTATACTATACTATACTATACTATACTATACTTAAATGTTGCAGGGGTAGTCGGATAGCTAGTGGTAAAAGCGTTCGCTCGTCACGCCGAAGACCCGGGTTCAATTCCCGACATGGGTACAATGTCTGAAGCTCATTTCTGGTGTCCCCCGCCGTGACATTGCTGGAATATTGCTAAAAGCGGCGTAAAACCAAACTCACTCACTAAACTTATATTGCGTGCTTTGTTCGTATTATGATAATTTTGTCTCTTCCTACACAGATAATTCAGGCTCCTTTATCTTGTTGGTTCATTATGGGAACAGATTTTCATTTTCATATTTATGTTCATGAAATAATTAATTGCATGATTATTATAAAAAAATAAACGAAAAGAATACCTACATATTGCGTAACAAAGACCATTAGACACATTAGCGATTAGTCATGAGTGCCTAATATCTAGAGAGATTTTGAATGTTAATAAACAACATTTGTATAATTGATGTACATTTCATACACTCATGTATATGTACGTCACAAACACGACTAATTATTTCACAATGTCAGCAATTACGCCAATTATTGAATAAGCATGAGACTGCAAAAGATTGATGAAGACCATACTCCCCATTAAATGTCGTGATCTACATAATGACTGGTACAGCTATTTGCGCCACCTGTATTAATGCATACTGTGTCGCCAAAAAGGTTACAGCTTTCTTTTTATGTTTTATACATCATTCCTCCCAACGCCAGAGTGATGAGTCAATTACACTGATGCCTTGATGTCGGCTGAAGCTCATGTCCAATGAAACATCGCCCCTTCATCACGTGACGCATAATTTATGTCTACCTTGACAGATACATAGCGGCCATTACTGTATAGAAACGTGTGCTCCATGCTATTGTCATGCGACACTTGATATATGGGTGTAGCGGTAGGAAAGCAGGAAGGATCGACTCCTGAATGAAACAAATCAAAATTTCACATCGTATTCAGGAAATCTCCTGCGATTTTTTCTGTTAATCACGTGACACAGTCCACACTCCTTACAACATAGCTTACACTCCGTACCAGACGCGTGTAGACTTTGACAAAACATTCTTTTCGTTAAATTTATCAGAAAGCTTGTAGGCTGTCGTGACTTGATGTGGCGCTTGATGCACGTTGATGGTCAGGATGTACGTGCGCCAAGCTCCACATGAAGTAACCATGCTCTTTGCCATTTCATGGGAGCCATAAACGAGTGTTAGATCTATGCATAGATATTCAGAGTGACAAAACTCTCTCTTCAAGACTGTATAAAAAGGGGGATGACTTCAACTTTCCAGTAGCCAACTTTCCCTGTGTGTTTTATTCCATCAGCTATGGTGTCTAGATTTGACCTTTTTTGAGGTGCAATCGAGCATGCTGTTTCGTCAACGATTTCAAAGAGCGTTATACGACTCTTGGTCAAAGTACTTTGATCAAGGTTACAACATTCAAGGCCTCAGTAATGTGTTATATTCCATCAGCTGCAGCCCTTGGTGTCTACATTTGACAATTTTTAGGTGCAATCGAGTATTCACTTTCTATGAAGATTCCAAAGAGCATCATACCACTTTTGTTCAAAAGTTACTAGATCAAGGTTACAACATTCAAGGCATCAGTAAAGCTTTCAAAATGTTTTATGGATGACATGTGGAGGATATTTCCAAATTTGAAGCGTCAGTGATAATATTGGTGTCCGATGCAATTCCTTAGTTTGACTTGGTCACTATTTAACAGTGAATTATAAGTCCATGCTCATGATACAGTCGAAGTAGTACAATCGGTTTTGCTTTTAATAGAGATATCTTGTTACTAGGGAAAGGGTTATGATGCTTTTAGTTATCAATCGCTTGTTTGTGATAGAACGTACATGGTGACGGGGCCAATAGGACGTATAAAGCCTTGAAGGACATTCGTGTACATGTTTCGTCTGTGGTTTAGTTATTCTAATTAAGGGGTTACCGAATTACTTAAAGCACAATAGGTAACTAATGTGACAATATATTATTTTCTGAGTTTTTAATGATTTTAATTATTGCAGTTGAAAATATTAACAAGTTAATTTCGTAGCAGTGGCCGGGGTCGACTACATGTATTAGAAATTGTAGGATGCTGTTTCTTGTCCCGCTGGCGACACGGATGCCAACAAACTTTGAAATCACGTCTGTCAGAATATAATAGAGAACCGTTAATTAAGTGAAATGTCAATTTAAGGGTATGTAGGCATAATTAACAACCAACTATTTAGAAAATAGTGGATCTTCTGAACGATAGAATGTCGTCATTCATTTTAAAATCAGTTAGTTATACATGTACCCTTACACCAATAACATTTCCGAATGTATAAAATGTTTAATATGTCTCTTGCTCAGCAAGCCTAAACCTACCCATCTCAAAATCAGAAATTAAAAGTGTAAACAAACAAAAAATAACCAAAAAATGGCAAAATCAATATCAAAACTCAAATAGCCAAATCACAAAAGTGCTCAGAAAACCACTAGCCAAACCTAAAATCCTACACCCCTCTAAAAAGATTGACAGATTAATTACAAAACTCCAAACAGGACACACGAACCTAAATAACCACCTAAAAAAACTTAAAAGACACACCACAGACAACTGCCCCCACTGCAAACAACCCGAAACCACAGAACACGCACTCATCCACTGCACTCACTACCAAACACACAGAACCACACTACAAACCACCCTCAATCTAAATAAGGTTCCTACTCTAGATGAAATACTAAACCCTCAAAATAAACTAGAAAACTTCAAGGCCCTAGGCGTATTCCTAATCAAAACAGACCTAACTGAGCGCATCTAAAAACTAATTAATCTACCAATCCAAAATCCAATAAACATACAAACACCCCTTAGTTCCCTCCTCCACCCACCTCGGCATTAATTCCAAATTTAAAAATTCGATATAAGCAACCCCTAAAAGCCCCCTCTTGGGTTGCACACAACACTTTCACCCTTTTCGGAATACACTAAATGGTCCGGACAGGCCCGTGTGCGAAATACGCTACAGTCGGAAAGCGCACGTTAAATCTCCTATATCAGTCAGTCAGTCTTGCTCAGCATATGTTTCCTACATATTCCGATGCCTTCCTGACCTCCCGCCTCTCATGTACGTACATCTGATGGAAACCATCTTTAAAATTACCGTTACCTTTCAAACTTTCATTTTGCTTCCATCTTTTGTTTCTGATGTATAGTTGTTTATTGGTTTGTCACGTGGCTTGGATATATTATATTTTGTCATGATGTGCTTTGTTGAAATAATCTAGAAGTATCATTATCACCATAATGCTGCTATTATTATTCTAAGTGGACAATTACGCTTTTTAGATCTGACACTGAAGTCAAAAGTTATGAGAAAATGCGAACAATAATTGGCGAGTAATTATGTGCTATAATCAAGGCTCAACAAGCCATTTATGAAATTATTTAGAAATATATTAGTATTCAGTCTTTGCTAATGCTTGTCTTCATTGACAATAACGATGCAGTGTAATCTGCATCTCCGATAACTCACAATACACATTTCAGTATTTTGAATTTACGGACTTCAAAAATGGAATTTCGAAATTTCGTGTTGACTGCTGCTGTCTTTCTCACTGCGGTGACGTCATGTATAGCAGGTACGTATACTACTCCACCTTCTATAAGGACCCGTGAAGATCCGGGGTAGAATAGGTCTTCAGCAACCCATGCTTGCCGTAAAAGGCGACTATGCTTGTCGTAAGAGGCTAACGGGATCGGGTGGTCAGGCTCGCTGACTTGGTTGATGCACGTCATCGATCCAAATTGCGTGGATCGAGTCTCATGATGTCAATCACTGGACTGTCTGGTCCAGACTCGATTATGTACAGACCGCCGTCATATAGCTGGAATATTGCTGAGTGCGGCGTTAAACAACAAGCAACCGACCAACAAACCAACCTTCTATACTCGTAAGTTGTTTAAGAACTGAATAATGATTATCGTACATCACGTGCTAATAATGACCACGACAGTATTAAATATCTCTTCCAACTAAAAATCTGTCTTTGCTAAAATATGCTTGTCACTCCCGTTGGAAACTGAATCTAGTAGATTTGAAATGGGATGATATTTACTGTTTAGCTTGTGAAACATGTAGTATTGAAGATGAATAGAATTTCTTTATTTTGATAACTTGTAATTGCTACCAACCACATGAGTGAGCTCAATCCCGTTGTATTAAAAAAATACTCACATTTCATATGTCACCGTCACCATCAACACGATGCAACACAGAAGGTAGCAATGCGGTGGCACGTGGTCCCTGCGTCGACCGATGCGGTGTCCTTACGCTGTTGCTGTCATTTCCGTGACGAACCCGTTGCACAAATACACAGTGCGCAAGTAACGGTCGTCCTGTGGCATCGTCGCGCATCGTCTGCCTGATCTTGCACTTTCCTGTACACTGCCTCTTACTGTTTGTTTGTTGTTAACACAACCAAAAGGTATATCACTATTATACGATGATTAGACCAGCTGTTGAGCAACGCATTCTGTACGAAAGGCATGCCCAGGATAAGAACTGTAGCCAGCAACAATGGTGAGAACTGATAGGGTTCGAATTCGCTCCTTGGCCGCAGTGCATGACTTTGTGTCCAGACGATGTGTCACATTGACGAGTACACGTTTTGTTTGTTGTTTAACGCCGCACTCAGCAATATTCCAGCTATATGACGACGGTCTGTAAATAATCGAGTCTGGACCAGAGAAACCAGTGACTGACATCATGAACATCGATCCACGCGTTGGGATCGATGACATGCATCAACCAAGTCAGAGAGCCTGAGCACTGTTTGACACCGCTCTGAAAAGTATTTTAGTTATAGCACTGTCTGTCGTCAGGTTGTTGTCGAAGAAAGCCGGAAGTGATGCAAATCTAAGGCTTAACCATTTTGGTAACACCCACAAGCATGGGTATGGTGATGATAAGCCTAGAAACACAATCAGGACGATAGACCATAGTTTTCTTGCACGCCTAGAGGACACATAGCGAATTCATCGATTTGAGTGCCTGGGTGGTTTTTTACGCAGCCTTGAACAGCCTGTATGCTTGAAGAGGTGTGAAAACACGAAGTGATGAATATGTTTGGGCTGGAATTCGAACACTAGAAAGTGCCAATGCGACAACGCGACATATTTGGCTTCCGAAAAATGTCGCGGTGTCGCATTGTCGCCCTTTGATAAAAATCTAAAATATCATCCAAAGCGCGACAGTGTATGGTGGCCAAGAGAGGACATCGCTCTCTCGCCTTCAATTACGGCCGCGATAAAGCGATAAAGCGTGACGAAAAAGGGATAGCATGAGACGAGAATGCGATGTGTATTTGGTCTTTCGTCTCGTGTTATCGCTTTCTCGTATCGTTGTATCGCTTTATCGTATCCTTGTATCGCTTTCTCGCTCTATTGCCTCGTTCTATCGCTTTCTCGTCTCGTGCAATTGCTTTTTCGTCTCGTGCTATCGCTTTCTCGTCTTGTGTTATCGCTTTCTCCTCTCGTGCTATCGCTTTCTCGTCTGGTGTTATCACTTTATCGCTTTCTCGTGGCCGTAATTGAAGGCGAGAAAGCGATGTCCCCTTTCGGCCACCATAAAATTGCGACAATTTGGACATGTTTTGCTTGTTTTTGGAACAAACAAACAAGCAAACAAATGTAAAGGCGACAACGCGAGTATGTCTCTTCTAGGATTCCATATATATCACTACAACTTGATCTAGTGTACAGCGTTATCGCGATGCCCCACTGAATATAATGAGCGTAGCGCAGTGGTGGTAGTTACTCCTAACAGCGTCTAGCTGTCAAAGTGTACACAGTTCATAAGGGAAAAATAAACAGTGGCTGATTCCTCACATGGTGACCTTATTACAACTAAAATCTTTATTAAAATGACACAGTGTTAAAAGTATTCGACACTGCATAAGATACACTTTCTTAAGTAAAGAAAATATGTATAAAAAAACAAGGAAAAATGAACCAATACCAATACAACGAAAAACCACAGAAAACCACCACCAATTCATCATGAAAAATGAAGGTGTACGTAAGGCTGAAAAATGGGTTTGAGATGAAGAAAATGGTAACAACAAATACCATACACATACAAGCGAACCGGTGAAGATCCGGGGTAGAACAGGTCTTCAGCAACCCAAAAGGCGAGTCGGACTATGATTGTCGTAAGAGGCGACTAACGGGATCGGGTGGTCAGGCTCGCTGACGTGGCTGATGCATGTCATTGATCCCAATTGCGTTGATCGATGTTCATGATGTCAATCACTGGATTGTCTGGTCCAGACTCATTTATTTACAGACCGCCGTCATATAGCTGGAATATTGCTGAGTGCGGCGTTAAACAACAAATAATCAAACACGTACAAGCGAATCACCTCCATGATTCAATGATATTTCTTAAACGGTCTCTTCAGTCTCCTTACAGCGACGCGTGATTGGCGGCGAGCTGACGTCCAAGGGAGACTACCCTTTCCTTGTGTCCCTGTGGTACATGAAGGAGAATGGCTTCACGAATAACACCAAGATGCACCACGTGTGTGGGGGTGCTCTGATAGCGCCGAGTTGGGTGCTGACTGCTGCGCACTGCTTTGAGTAAGTAGCCTTCCATACACATATATACAATGTACAAGGCAGTGTTTGTGTGTTTGTTTATTGTTTAACGCCGCACTCAGCAATATACCAGTTATGACGGCGGCCTGTAAATAATCGAGTCTTGACCGGGAATCCAGTGGTTGACATCGTGAGCATCGATCAAGGCAATTGGGAAACGATGACTTGCACCAAGTCGGTGATCCTGATCACAGTGTCACACAGTGCTCTGGTGTTGTTAGATATTGATGTGACGAAGTTGTGAGTGAGTGAGTGAGTTGGGTTTAACGCCACTTTTAACAGTATTCCAGTTATATCACGGCGTGTCAGCTTAATGTGGGAGGAAAGCCCGAAGTGATGCAGGTCTCAGACGTTTACCACTTCGGTGAAACCCACGAGCACGGGTATGGTGCTGACAAACCTAGAAACATAATTGGGGCGAACCGGGATTCGAACCCACAATCATAGGTTTCTGGCGCGCCCAAGGGACGCAACCCTGCACAGCGAATCGCGGGACCTTAGACGACTGGGCCACCCGTGCCCCCTGACGAAGTTGTGGAAAATAGTCTGAAGTGTGGCGCTATATTAACTTTCCTCTCGCCGCACAGTGGTCTGGTGTTGTCGGATATTGACGTGACGAAGTTGTGGAAAATAGTTGTAGTGTGACGCTATGGTTGTCTTTATCACCTAACACAGCGCTCAGGTGTTGGCGTGTATTGATGTGAGGCAGCTGTGAAAACTAGTCTGTAGTGTGACGCTTTGGTGGTCTTTATCTCCTAACACAGTGCTCAGGTGTTGGCGTGTATTGATGTGAAGCAGCTGTGAAAACTAGTCTGTAGTGTGACGCTATGGGTGTCTTTATCTCCTGGCACAGTGCTCAGGTGTTGGCGTGTATTGATGTGAAGCAGCTGTGAAAATTAGTCTGTAGTGTGACACTATAATGGCTTCAGCTTTCTTCCAACACAGTGCTCGGGTATTGAAGGGTATTGACGTGAAGGAATCGTGGAAGGTAGTTGCCGGGAAATTCAACCAGTTGGCCGATGAAGACTCGGACCAGTTCCGTACCATCACTGAGATCCATACGTACCAGGGCTGGAACAGTGGGTATACGTGAACTAATAACATTGCTTACATAGTACGTCTACAGACAAGCTGTGAATAGTCGCATAACCGTTGTTTAAGAACGATATGTTGCATATCTCAATCAGTATTCAACGTAAATCTAATGAGTGAGTGAGTGAGTGAGTTGGGGTTAACACCGCTTTTAACACGAGCACGGGTATGGTGCTGACAAACCTAGAAACATAATCAGGGCGAACCGGGATTCGAACCTACAATGATAGGTTTCTGGCGTGCCCAAGGGACGCAACTCTGCACAGCGAATCGCGGCGCCTTCGACGACTGGGCCACCAGTGCCCCCTCGTAAATCTAATGATTATTAATAATTGATTATACGTGTATATAATATGTGTCCATTATAAAGGATTATGTATTAATGTATACAACACTTCATTATTAAAACATTTATGGACATGGGTCAAGGTTGGGGGTATGTTTAATCTTGCCACTTTGAAGCCCTACGTTATGTATACATGTACTATGTGGGTGAGGAAGTCGGGTGGTGGGGTAGCCTAGTGGTTAAAGCGTCGAAGACGTTCGATTCCCCAATTGCGCAAAATGTGAGAAGCCCATTTCTGGTGTCCCCCGCCGTGATATTGCTGGGACATTGCTAAAACCGGCGTAAACTGATAATCATTCACTGTGGGTGAAGGAAAGGTAAAACCCGAGGGGTGTGAGGATGGTGTGAGGGTGGTGTGAGGATGGTGTGAGGGTGGTTGGAATAGCGCGAAGTCCGAAGGCTCTCCGTTTCCCAGGGTTCACTCTTTCCACCAAAGCCGAGGAGAAGCGTTGTTTGTCTTTGACTTAAATAACTTCGTAACAAGTTTGATAAATGTTTGTTTAATATTACGAGCGTATGTACGGAAGTGCGTTACGACAGCCTAAAGCAACGCCCGTAAAATGTAGCTGGCCAGAAAATACCAGCAAAATACCTCTCAATAAACCACTTTTCTGAAGCAGTTCGGTGGTGTAATGGTTTAAGTGCCTGACTTCATATCCATGTGAAAAACTTCTTTGTTTTTGATGTCAGAACCTTGGTCGTTTGATAAACTACATACTCATCCAAGAAATGGTCACCATCCCTGATATGTTTTTTTTATAAATAACTCGTGTTCTTGCTTCAGTTAAAAAACTTCTCGGAGACGCTGCCTTGTTGAAACTGAACGAACCGGTAGATTTATCCCGGGAAGATGTTGCTGTCATCAGCCCGGATACTGCCCCATCGTGCGCCGTGGCTGGAGCTGATTGTTATGTCGTGGGGTGGGGACAAATAGCTGAGAGTGAGTATATTGGTGGCATTGGACCGACACCACATGTACCGTGGCGAGAGTTGATGGATATGGCGTGGGGTGGGGCCAAGCGGCTGAGGGTGGCTAGAGCTGACTGTTATGTTGTGGGGTGTGGACAAGTGGCTGAGGGTTGCCGGAGCTGATTGTTATGTTGTGGGGTGGGGGCAAGGGGCTGATGGGGGCCGGACCTCATTGTTATGTTGTGGGGTGGGGCCAAGTGGCTGAGAGTGGCCGGACCTGATTGTTATGTTGTGGGGTGGAGCCAAGTGGCTGAGGGTGGCTGGAGCTGATTGTTATGTTGTGGGGTGGGGGCAAGGGGCTGAGGTTGGCTGGAGCTGATATGTTGTGGAGTGGGGCCAAGTGGTTGAGGGTGGCTGGAGCTGATTGTTATATTGTGGGGTGGGGCCAATGGGCTGAGGGTGGCTTGAAATGATTGTTATGTTGTGGGATGGAGCCAAGTGGCTGAGGGTGGCTGGAGCTGATTGTTATGCTGTGGGGTGGGGGCCAAGTGGCTGAGGGTGGCTGGAGCTGATTGTTATGCTGTGGGGTTGGGCCAAGTGGCTGAGGGTGGCTGGAAATGATTGTTATGTTGTTGGGTGGAGCCAAGTGGCTGAGGATGGCCGGACCTGATTGTTATGTTGTGGGGTGGAGCCAAGTGGCTGATCATGAGGGTGGCTGGAGCTGATTGTTATGCTGTGGGGTGGGGCCAAGTGGCTGAGGGTGGCTGGAGCTGATATGCTGTGGGGTGGGGCCAAGTGGCTGAGGGTGGCTGGAGCTGATTGTTATGTTGTGAGGTGGGGGCCAAGTGGCTGAGGGTGGCTGGAGCTGATATGTTGTGGAGTGGGGCCAAGTGGTTGAGGGGGGCTGGAACTGATTGTTATGTTGTGGGGTGGGGTCAAGTGGATGAGAGTGGCTGGAGCTGATTGTTATGTCGTGGGGTGTGGACAAATAGCTGAGGGTGGCTGGAGCTGATTGTTATGTCGTGGGGTGGGGCCAAGTGGCTGAGGGTGGCTAGAGCTGATTGTTATGTCCCGGGGTGTGGACAAATAGCTGAGGGTGGCTGGAACTGATTGTTATGTCGTCGGGTGGGGCCAAGTGGCTGAGGTTGGTTGGAACTGATTGTTATTTCGTGGGATGTGGACAAATAGCTGAGGTGAGTGTATTGATCGCATGGGACCGACAACACAAGCACCGTGGCTGGAGCTGATTTTTATGTTGTGGGTTGGGGCCAAGTGGTTGAGGGGACCGGAGCTTCTGGTTATGTTGTTGGGTAGGGCCAATTGCCCGAGGGTGAGTATATTGATGGCATGGGACCGACAACACGTGCACCGTGACTGGCTTAAACTGACCTTGCTTCCGTGTCTTCAGAACCCTATGGCTACGGCATGTATATCCCGGTGGTGGCGGACATGCCGGTGGTGGACACAGAGACGTGCGTAGAGGCTATGAAGCCAGAAAACGTCGACAACCGCAACGTCACCATCGACGACAGCCTGATATGTGCCGGCCACGTTGAGGGAGACGTAGACGCTTGTTCTGTGAGTATATGAGTATGGTCGGACTTATTTAAGAATTAAAGTTTGCACTACCCCCATGTGTTGTGTATCGAAGTTTAGTTTTGCCCTGAACTGTTATAGTTATAACTTTATTACACTACACATGGGGGTATATCAAACTTTTTTACTTTTCTAAGATTCCAAATTTAAGGCTTATCTTAATATGTTTTATTGGAGGTGGGTTCAAAATCAAATAGCGGTGCCGTAAATTGAAAATCCACGAACAGTGCTAACTGACGGGCTGTTGAAACTAATATGGTTAAAACACCCTATCGTTAAGACACAAAGTATACGTTTTTATTACTTATGTAATAAAACACCACCAAAATGGTCAGATTATGGATTATAAATGAGTCACATTGTATTATCCGTTCAGTGTGTGATTATCCATAATCTCATGCAATAAGTATGATTTACATTTTTAAGTTTTTATATTAATGTGCTTCATTTCAGTCACATGACGTGAAAATTCCATAAATGCATTGTTGAGCCGAGCTAACACATGTAAACATAGCGATGTTCTGTGTCGCTGATTACAGTGAGTTGATGTGTGTTCTGTCGCCAAAGTTTCAACTTTGTCCCACCACTAATGTTAGCACACTGCAAGCCATGAAATAGTGGGCTCCCGAGTCGGTTTCAGCAGCGTACATGATCCGTGACGACGTGAATCGCCGGCCTGGGGCGTGATACGGCGTCGACGTTGGACGAACAAGGCGAGATAAAAGCGACAGTGGTCGTTTCGCTTGACTGCATGTTCCCGAGGCAAGGGAGTTGACTGACTATAAAAGTCCACCAACCCTTATCGAAATAGGCTGGAATTTCCCGGCTCGATCGTAGCGCCACCAGTGGCTAGTAAGAGTTATGACATTGTCCCTTCTATGTCCCTCCTATTGACCAATCCAATCCCACGTCTCATATCATTTACAATTGCTTCAAACAAAATGGCGGCGCCCGGTCAAAACGATCTGGTCGATAATCAAGATCTATCGTGTAATAAAACAGGTCTTACTTCGAGAAATGCATCATTTGATCACCTTGATTAAAAGCATGAAAAGACTTGCAAAATATCGGACGACGCCCAGTTATAGGCACAAATGCTTTGCAAATCCTTCAGTCGAGCGAAATCTCCATGTTGTTTGCGAACATGTTGTCTAGTTCGCATACCGATTTTGACTGGACTATGCATAGACTCGCCAAAATGTAACTCCGGAACTCAGTCAATGAAAAACTTTCTTTCTCGTGTTTAAACTAAAAACAAATTCAAGAACCACCCAAAACAACAAAATCCTGGTGATTTTGAAAATGAGTTCGGATGAAAAATAATCTTTTCATGACCTTAAATCGAACATTACAACCAAAAGCGGGTTTTGCTCTAATGAAAAACGAGGGCGGTCGGGTAGCCTAGTGGTTAAAGCGTTCGCTCGTCACGCCGAATCCCCACAATGGTATAATGTGTGAAGCCCATTTCTGGTGTCCCCCGCCGTGATATTGCTGAAATATTGCTTAAGGCGACCTAAAACCAAACTCACTCACTCACTCTACTAAAAACCAAGCACGTGTTGTCTATTTCAGGGCGACTCCGGAGGACCTCTGGTGTGCGTGTGCGATGTCGTCGAGGTCGTCAGTGGTATCGTCTCTCACGGTCACGGCTGCGCCAGGGAAAATCTTTATGGAATCTACACTCGAGTGTCCCTTCTAAAGGACTGGATTGATGACGTTATTAGGGGCAAAGACAATACTGGCCAGCCTCAAACGGAAAAGATTCAGTTATAAGACGATACAGTAAACTACGAGCTAATCAGCAATTTCCTGACATCTACGTTTATTAACTTATTCTTGATGTATTCCAAATATGTATGAGTAAAGGATCTAGTTCTGAGAAAATAAGTATGCTTTCTGATATCGCTATCTGATGCCAATTCTCATCAACGCGTACATGCTGTATAAACGATTGTGTTTCCATTTTTAACGGTAAAAGAGTAAGAATGAGTGAGTGAGTTGGGGTTAACGCCGGTTTTAAACAGTATTCCAGTTATATCGCGGCGTGTCAGCTTAATGTGGGAGGAAAGCCCGAAGTGATGCAGGTCTCAGACGTTTACCACTTCGGTGAAACCCACGAGCACGGGTATGGTGCTGACAAACCTAGAAACATAATTGGGGCGAACCGGGATTCGAACCCACATTCATAGGTTTCTGGCGTGCCTAAGGGACGCAACTCTGCACAGCGAATCGCAGCGCCTTAGACGACTGGGCCACCAGTGCCCCCTAAAAGAGTAAGAAAAATTGTGACATTCCTGATGATCGTTTTGAACATAAATACCTAAATATAAGGATATATTACTTTCTTATGATGCCATTTTACCCTGCCAGGACAAATAGAAAAGTAATGAACAGAAGTGGATATATTTTGTCTGTATTATGCACTGATAGTTGCAATGAGATGACCTATACATATATCACATATGTTCACAGTGTCAGTCCTGCTGTAACTGAATACCCTATTTAATAATTTATGAGATATAAAACAAACAGACGAATGTAAAAGTGTGGCTAACTAACGGTGTGTGTTATCAGCTTCTTGCCAACCACACATCCTGTACAACATGCTCGGGTAAAACGGAAGTACAATCAGGTAAAACGGAAGTACCATTGGCTGTTGGGATTACAATCTGTTGTGCAATTAATGTAAACAAATGGTATGCAAGACTGGACCATTGTCACTGAGGCTGCTCACAGACACTGCTAGCAAGTGAGTTTACTGACAATGGTTACGTGTTATCACATTATTGTTGTGTACGGTTATTATACAATCAAGACGAGTGAGTGAGTTGGGTTTAACGCCGCTTTTAACAGTATTCCAGTCATATCACGGCGTGTCAGCTTAATGTGGGAGGAAAGCCCGAAGTGATGCAGGTCTCAGACGTTTACCACTTCGGTGAAACCCACGAGCACGGGTATGGTGCTGACAAACCTAGAAACATAATTGGGGCGAACCGGGATTCGAACCCACAATCAGAGGTTTCTGGCGTGCCCAAGGGACGCAACTCTGCACAGCGAATCGCGGCGCCTTAGACGACTGGGCCACCCGTGCCCCCCACAATCAAGACGAAGGTTAAATCTGTCCTGTAACGAGTCAGGTGGTTATTATTGATCAGCGTTGCAAGTCGGCAAGCATCGACCTGGCCTCTCTGATGGAAATCGCTGTGGTTTGATTCAGTTGTGTGGAAACCACACCGGGGTTACATATTTAACACAACACCCTTCGTGTTACCGAGAACAACTTCTTTATCACATGATACGACTTTCAGGGTTCGCCTCAACATAAATTACTGAAATAACACAGGTGTAGTTGAAATACAGGCAATTATGTTTATGCTCACCGAAGGATCACATTCATAATATATAGTATTTGCGATATGGAAACACACGATACGGAAACACACTCGGCTTAAAATATCCCTGTGTCAGTTTCACATGTCAAACTAATATTTAAGTCATGCCTGAGGCTGGAAATAGGCACCTGGCTGTGGACCATAGTCTTCCTTCCATCAGCTGTCTGATACTTGAATAAATGTTATATGACATGACTACAAAGGAAAAGACAAAATCAGTAACTACATGCACTTGAATGAAAATGAGAGTGAGCGGACTGTCTCAGTTGTGTAGTGGATAGAGCGTCTGCCAGGAGAAAGAAAGGTCGTGGGTTCGATTATTGGCAGAGTCATACGAAAATATGTTAGAGATGTTACTTGTTGTTACCCTGCATGGCGCTTTAGACCTGCACGGCGTTCGAGAAGTACCTTAAACGAGACGATAAACCCCAATTACCTCACCTCATCACTTCAAAGTGAGATGTGTTAACGTCACAGCCATCAAGCTATGTCACAGCAGCCTTTTAATAACCGAGAAATGATGCATCGGTCATTGCATAGTATTAATAACTATCCGTGCCGCCGATACGGTGAGTCAATATGTACCAGATTACAGTGAATGAGTGAGTGAGTATGGTTTAACGCCGTTTTTAGCAATCTTCCAGCAATATCACGGCGGGGCACACCAGAAATGGGCTTCGCACATTGTACCCATTTCGGGAATCAAACCCGGGTCTTCGGCGTGACGAGCGAACGCTTTAACCACTAGGCTACCCGACCGCCCCGTCAGGTTACAAAATGTGACCATCCACTGCTAATGTTAGTCAGTTCTTATGACAAGTATGTTCTGTCCATGAAGCATGTATGACAATCAATGAAAGGGTAGCTACAACTCTCTTGCAGTTGATGCTATAGATGTGCGTAGCATGGCATGGGTTTTCGGAATAGTGGCACAGCGGCTGGTCAGCACATCAGCTAAAATTATGAAAATGAATCATGTGTGTAAAAAATAAGACATTCTGTCTAAATTTTAAACAATACATCTGTAAAACAAATATGGTGATGCTCAGAGGTTATTTTATAACTGCGCAGCAACATACGTAATACATAAATACATGCCAAAATGATTACGTACCTACTCGACGTGAGTGTTTGTTCCGAGGTAGTGGAACATGATAACAATGTGGAAAGGAAAAGTAGGTTCAGGAGAATCAAATGATAGATGCCAAGATAACCAAGTGTACCACTGAATAGAAACAATGTGGTTTATCTCCCCTTGATCATGGCATGACGTGCAACCTGTCACGTGACGAGGAAATGTAACACTATTAAGTGTTGTCAAATACATTCGAGGTCATTATTGGTCACGTATATTCAGAACAGTGCAGGTGTCCTTTGACCACCTCTGTGGCCCAGCGTCTGTCCGGAGAGCGTACAGGTCAAGCAGCCACACGCAGGTAGGTGAGCGACGTTAAACTCTGTTCACACACACACACACACACACACACACACACACACACACACACACACACACACACACACACACACACACACACACACACACACACACACGCATGCACCTCGCTATATGAGTGCAGGAATCTTTAAAGTCAGCTTTAAGCCCATTTTTACTGCTCCACCTCATAGGTGTTCTTTTCTTCAATCAAATGCTGTTATTATTTCTCATTCGCTGACGGACTAATCAGAATGATCGATTTCAATTTGTCATGGGGGATAATGGATCAGACCAAAAACAGAGAGAATACAATAAACAGAGAAAGACACTAGCAGCATTGTTAAGCCAAGTTAAGAACATCCAGCACATTTTACAACTATCAAAAACTGTACTTCAAAGTATCAAGTGGTTCGCTTGTTACTGACAAATAAATGGTTGAATGGTCAAATGGTTGAATTGCATTTACTAAATGGTTGACATCTCTATGAGACACTTTAGGTGAGATAACACAAACCTTTTTTAACTGTTATAAATGAGTGAGTGAGTATGGTTTTACGCCGCTTTTAGCAATATCCCAGCAATATCACGGGGGGAGGCCTAGGGGAGGGGGGGCACCAGAAATGGGCTTCACACACATGGTACCATGGTACCATGGTACCTATGGCGGGAGTCGAACCCGGGTCTTCGTCGAGACGAGCGAACGCTTTGACCACTAGGCTACCCGACCGCCCTTGCTGTTATAAATGTCACAGGGGACTGTATTACGCATATCGTATGCACTGTTTACATAACTACACTAGTTAGGGTAACACTTGTGATAAGATTAAGGTCAACATTATAGATAGCTTGATATGTTGCTGACATTGAATACGGCGTGATCGTATGGCAAGTAACAAGGTAGTTCGTGGAACCTGGTTATCTGTAGATTAGGTGTGCAATACCCAGTTGACTGTAGTAGACTGACAACAGTCTGGAGAACATTGTCAACAATTGCTTTACGCAACCATCAAGTCCTGTGAATACATTCGCTATATTATTTATATTATTATATGTACTTCTTAAAACTGGGGACCGCCTCCGTGGTTTCGTGCAAATGGCCTCGATCCCCGGCCGCGTAATACCAAAAGACGTTAAAATATGGTACTTGTTGTTTCCCTTCCTGGCGCATCAATGGGCTATAACAAGAACTGGTCAGCTCGGGGTCAGTATACTGTGTCTGAGTGGGGTGTTCATGTTAACTGGAGAATGGTATCTCAGTGGGCTAGCACTATTTATCGGCATCAGTCCGGACTAGTACAAGCAGTCACATACAAACACACTCACACACAAACACGTCGCTATATCAGTGCAATAATCTTGGACGCGACGTTAAACCCCGTTTCACAGCACCTCTTAAAACTGGCTCTGCGCAATTCTTTTGGCATATTTCATGAAAAGGTCACAGGCCAAGGTAATGAGATGGAAACACTCACAAAAATCACAAAAAGTTTGTGGTTGCACATTAAGTATCAATGCATTTATTAATTTTGAAAAAGATGGTCATGTCTTTGTTAGTTTGTGAGGCATGGTTTTCTCGACAGACAAATAACTTTATAATTACGTTATACGTAGCTGAATCACACTTCCTCAAGAATATGGCGCAAAGACATGTGATGACATCCTACAATGGACGTCTTCAATATGGGGATTATTTTGGCATATATTATGGCACAAGTCTCTAAAATGTATTTTTTTTGTGGTTAAGAAGTATTAAGCTTTTGTCATTAAACTTAGTAGATGTTTTGTTTAGGATAGATCCATGCGTATGATCAAAATAAGGCCAAGGTCAGCATTTATGATTTGAAATTGGAACATATGGTCAAAATAGGGAATTGCCTCGGATTTCCTTTTGTCACTGATCCGTCAAATTTGGAAACGTTCTCCACATGTCTGCTATAAAACGTTCTCCACATGTCTGCTATAAAACGTTCTCCACGTGTCTGCTATAAAACGTTCTCCACGTGTCTGCTATAAAACGTTCTCCACGTGTCTGCTATAAAACTTTCTCCACATGTCTG